GAATGACCTCTGGTTTCATCATGGTGACCTTACCTAAGCGACAAGAGAAAACGTGAGGTCAAAGGTCAACAGGTGGTCCAGGTGGCTTTTAAAACATATTGGGAAATGAACTCCATATAGTTACCAAAGTATGACCCGAAAATAATGATGTTTTTAAATTTAGGCCTTGAAGTGTGTGTGTGTGTGTTCGTGGTATTTTCTAACATTGTTCCAGTTGTTGTTTTTGAGTTATTATTATTATTATTATTATTATTGTTATTGTTATTGTTCTTATTGTTGTTGTTATTGTTTTCCATTGAGTTTCCTTATATTAATGATTTAGCCAGACCGATTTAGCCAGACCGATTTAGCCAGACCGATTTAGCCAGACCGATTTAGCCAGACCGATTTAGCTAGACCGATTTAGCCAGACCGATTTAGCCAGACCGATTTAGCTAGACCGATTTAGTTAATATTTGAAGTTAGTGAAAGAATGTGGTATTCTTTATATATTTTCCGTGAATTTTATTTCTTTTATTTTTTGTGGGTTAATTTATTCTGTGCCAGGTGTTTTTCTGGTAGCATTGGGCTGTGTTATAGGAGACAGACAGACAGGCAGAGACAGACAGAGACAGACAGACAGACAGACAGACAGACAGACGGTTGTTGAGTTGCATCATGAGAGAGAGAGAGAGAGAGAGAGAGAGAGAGAGAGAGAGAGAGATGGGTTCACTTACATAACCACTTTCACCCATATGCGTTTACTTGCCTTATACCAAAACGTTCTCTCGGGTGTGTGAGAGAGAGAGAGAGACAGAGAGAGAGAGAGAGAGACAGAGAGAGAGACGAAGAGAGAGAGAGAGAGAGAGAGACGTATACATATATCAAGAAGAGAGACAGACAGACAGGCAGACAGACAGTCCCACACTCTTCCCGTGGTTAAGGGATAACAGAATATGCCTTGGGACAATAATAACACACTGGGTCACCTTTACTTTAGATTGACACGAGTCTACCTTAGTCAACAGGGCCTGCCATTCTTGTTGTGGCAGCCGTCAGTGTGTGTGTGTGTGTGGGTGTGTAGGTCTGTTTGCTTATGTGCGTACGTGTGTGTATTTGTAGATGTGTTAGCATGTGTGTGTGTGTGTGTGTGTGTGTGTAGGTCTGTTTGCTTATGTGCGTACGTGTGTGTATTTGTAGATGTGTTAGCATGTGTGTGTGTGTGTGTGTGTGTGTGTAGGTCTGTTTGCTGATGTGCGTACGTGTGTATTTGTAGATGTGTTAGCATGTGTGTGTGTGTGTGTGTGGTGTGTAGGTCTGTTTGCTTATGTGCGTACGTGTGTGTATTTGTAGATGTGTTAGCGTGTGTGTGTGTGTGTGTGTGTGTGTGTGTGTAGGTCTGTTTGCTTATGTGCGTACGTGTGTGTATTTGTAGCTGTGTTAGCATGTGTGTGTGTGTGTGGAGAGAGAATTACAGTGTGTTAAATATTTATCTAATATTTAAACTCTCTGGGATTTCATAGCCATATCTTGTGTCACTTACAGAATAAATTACTATATCTAAAATTTCTTCTATTTCTTATATAAGAAAAATAATATATACTAATTTATTTTTACTTCTGTATACTGATATATAAATATTTTAATCCAGTTTTAAAATAAAGTAAACATACGTATAAAAATTAATTGTAAAAAAAGCGAATTTTACAGAAAGTTAAATGTTAAGGAGTAATTTCACAGGTAGTTTATGTATGTATGTATGTATGTATGTATGTATGTATGTATGTTTAGTGTGGAGTTTGTTGTCAAGTTTATTGTTACCAAAGCCTCACCTCTTGCTCGACAGGGGATGGTGTAGGGCTGTAGGCTGTACACTATTTGACACCATTCAGCCTTTTAGCCACCAATGAGGCCAGGTTCTTGAGCAACAGACAAAGGCCACGATTTCTTGAATGAATAACTGGTTAAATAGCCCATTAAGATCGGCATGAAATTATCCAAACATGGCACAAATGTTTCCCTTCTCCAGTCGGCTTTGGGAGTGTCATCAGTCTCGTCGTATTTTCCCCCCGGAGTCTTTGCTGTCCATCGCTGTCAGATACACATCCCACCGACACCTGTGCTGTAGATATTTATGCCTTAATATAATGTAAATGTCTCTCCTTATATAACGAAATATTGTTAGATGCGGCCTTATTTTCCGATGACAAATGTAGCGTAAAACAAACTCTGGTTTAGGAGAGTACTGGCATATAGGAACTTACTCCTTAATCGCATCAGAGTAACTCGCACCTAGCACTGGCATAACAACTTGCGCCTTACTCGCGTCAGAGTAACTCGTTCATAGCGCTGTATTGAAAGCTTTTATTAATCAAGTGATCCACTCCCCAGATTCCACCATATGTAACTTATCATCTCTGTTCATTGTATATTTTCAACCTTCGGGCTGCCATGTTATCTTAATAAACCGTTAATTATTATTATTATTATGATTATTATTATTATTATTATTATTATTATTATTATTATTATTGTTATTATTACTATTATTATTACACACCCACACACACACACACACATCCTCGACACCGGCTCCTACTACCACCTGAGATCCCTAGCCCGAGAATTGCTGTTCGACACCACAACCGCATCCAGCCCATACGTGCACGAACTGATCGCTATAAGAACAGCCCAGTCCCAACCATTGTAAAAATTATCAATAACTTGTAATAAACCAGTGTATTCACTCCCAGTAAACACTGTCACTATGTTGAAATGAACTGTAGTTTGAGCTTTTCCCCATCTAGTTATTATATATCTTATTTGTATCACTTATGTTACTTGTATATTATTTGTAATTCGAAACCCATTCCCCAAATATGTAACTGTATATTTTCAGCCTTCTGGCTGCCAAGCTCTTTCAATAAACCGTTAATTATTATTATTATTATTATTATTATTATTATCTACACGTCCACCCACTCGCACAGCCACAGCGACAAAACATGTACACTTGTGACAACGCTTACTAACACAGCTGCGGTGGAGAGTGTTCGGGGGTCATTGGACGTTAGGTTAGCGTTAGGTTAGGTTATCGTTAGCGTGGTTAATCTTTAGGTGAAACAAGCTGGGGTGGTGAGTCTTCATGTGATCCAGTACTCGCCGTAAGCATCCCTTCCTCCACCACACTCCCTGTAGACTGAGTGACCTGGTAACCTCACCACTCAACAATACCTCGAGGGGCAGACGGTCATTAAACTGGTACCTGGTGGGAGGGGGGGGGGCTAAGGGAGGTGGGAGAGATGAGCGGGAGGGGGGCTGGAGGGAGGTGAGGGGATGAGGGGAGGGGGCCGGAGGGAGGTGAGGGATGAGTGAGGGGGGGGCGGGAGGGAGGTAGAGGGACAGTGGGAGGGGGCCAAGGGAGGTGAGAGATGAGTGGGAGGGGGGGGCTGGAGGGAGGTGAGGGATAAGTGGGAGGGGGCTGGAGGGAGAGGGATGAGTGGGAGGGGGCGGAGGGAGGAGGATAAGTGGGAGGGGGGGCCGAGGGAGGTGAGGGATGAGTGGGAGGGGGGCCGAGGGAGGAGAGAGATGAGTGGGAGGAGGAAGCGGAGAGGTGAGGCGAGTGGGAGGGGGGAAGGAGGAGGGAGGGATGAGGGAGGAGGCCGGAGGAGGAGGGATGAGGGAGGGGGCTGGCGGGAGGTGGAGAGGGATAAGGGGAGGGGGGCCGGAGGGAGGTGAGGGATGAGTGGGAGGGGGGCCGAGGAGGTGAGAGATGGAGGGAGGAGGGCTGGAGGGAGGTGAGGGATGAGGGAGGGGGGGCCGGAGGAGGTGAGGGATGAGGGAGGAGGGCCGGAGGGAGGGAGGGGATGAGTGGGAGGGGGGGCCGGCGGGAGGTGAGAGATGAGGGGAGGGAGGCTGAGGGGAGGTGAGGGATGAGGGGAGGAGGCTGAGGGGAGGGAGGGATGAGGGAGGGGGCCGGAGGGAGGTGAGGATAAGTGGGAGGGGGCCGGCGGGAGGTGAGGGATAAGGGAGGGGGCTGGAGGGAGGGAGGATGAGGGAGGGGGGCCGAGGAGGTGAGGATGAGGGAGGGGGCTGGTGAGGAGGATATGGGAGGGGGCCGGCGGGTGAGGATAAGTGGAGGGGGGGAGGAGGTGAGGATGAGTGGGAGGGGGCTGGAGGGAGGTGAGGGATGAGGAGGGGGGGCCGGATGGAGGTGGAGGGGATGAGTGGGAGGTGAGAGGGTGAGTGAGGAGAGGAAGGGGTGGTGATAAGTGAGGGAAGGGGAGGAGGGTGGTGAGTGAGGGAGTAGAGGTGAATGAAGGGGAGAAGGGTGGTGAGTGAGGGAGAAACGGGGTGGAGAAATGACTGTCAAAATAAGAAAAGAATTGTTTTATATACAGTACAGGGTGTTTCAAAAATATATATACACACTACCTTACAGCAACATTGTCCTCCTTTATGGATCACCCTGTATACATTAAGACGTCACCCAACACCTTACACATTATGGATTAAAAAAAAAGGTCAAATTATATTCAAGTTTATTTTTATCTTTATATGCTGAAGAAAACACTAAGTCAATTGCTGTGTTTTCATGACCCGACACCAGTTAAAATATACAACTTTTCAACTAACTTTATCAATTCAGTAAATTAATCATAGTTCATACAATTTTAATAGATATCAAAATTTTAGATCAATAATCTACAGGTTATATAATGTAAATAATTTTGTACCATAACGAAATCGTCATAAACTTCACCCCTTGTGTACTGGGCCCCTTGTGTACTGGGCCCCTTGTGTACGGGGCCTCCTGTGCTAAATACAATCGTCTGGCGTTCTTGCAACTCCTAATACCATATCTAATCTACACGGTCAGTCTCTCACTCAAACGAACATCAGAGAATCAAAACCAAATTAAAACACAATAAACACTACTGGAATCTACACAAGGGGATAATAGCATCTAGTACTATATTTGATAGTGATCTTACAATGTTTCATGGCTGTGGAAATTGATGAGGGACAGCCTAAACTCAGTCTTTAGTTTGTAGGGGAATGTTACGTTTGTTCGTGATGGTGTTGATGTTTTGGTAAGCCTTAAGTCCACAAAGTCCAATTAAACACAATAAGTCTTCAAATTCTAACGTCCAGTGAAAACCTCATTCTTGGGGACTTGGGTCGACCCGGTGTATGTGTGTTATTCCTGTGGCTCGTAAGGTTCCCCGGGCTTGATGATGGAACCTCCCTTCTCTGTCCAATCGAGGAAGGATCCATAATACAACCTGGAAAAGAAAGTGAAATGAGGATGACTTAGGTTAAGTTAAATGGAGACACTGATAACATCCCTGTATAGTTTTGTAGGTTCGGTTTACTGGATAAGAGTATGTACACAGAGGTGGATAGCACTGCTCCCTAGCTAAGGTCCTGGTCAACTACCATAGACGACGTATGGCAAGTGATACATTAGCAGCTTCCATACGTCGCCAGGCACATTAATTAAGCGTGTGGGATATGGTAATAACATTGCCACACGCTGCTAGCTAGGCTGAATAAATATAAATGGAGCACATACATAATATACATACATAGTACATAATCCAGCATACGTAATATACATACACCTCCCTCCCCCCTATACGCTCATAGCAAAGTCTTGAGCGGACCTTTTCTTCTGGATCCGTTCTGAGCGTCGAGGGACTTCATCACTGGGAAGGGTATGGGACTCAACACTGGTGGCGGGGCCAGCAGAAGGCATTGTTACGGGGCGGAGAAAACGGCGGTTCCTCCACCACACACGACCACTGGGTAACCGCACCTGGTAGTCCCGTGACCTGCCGAGACCCATGACTACGCCTACTTTGTCCCAACGTAGGGAGGTCGGGTCCTGAACACGGACTTGGGTACCGACACTCAACCTGGGGAGAGAACGGGCGTGGTCGTTGTAGCGGGCGACGACGTCCTGAACACGTTCGGCGGCTCGGCGATCACAATCCTCTGTCTTAGCCTGCCACTCCTTGGAGAAGGATTGAGGGTGAGCAGGGACACAAGAACGAAGGGGGCGCCCATACAAAACCTGGGCAGGGGAGCGTCCGGTGTAGTTGGGTGTGTTGCGGAGTTCAAGAAGACCCCGGTCGAAGGCCTCGCAGTCAATGTTCCCAGAAGGGGCCACCTTAAGGATGAGGTGCTTCAGGGATTTGACAGCAGCCTCAGCGTGGCCGTTGGACTGCGGGTAATGGGGCGATGACAACACATGCCGGACTCCCCATCGGTCAAGGAACGCAGCAAAGTCCCGGCTTGTGAACTGAGGCCCTCCGTCGGTTCGCAGGCGTACAGGAACGCCCACGTCACGGAAGTAGTGGCGGAACTTGCTGATGGTGGCGGCAGACGTCGTGTCATTACCGCCCTTGATGACAACCGGCCAACCAGAGAGACGGTCGACGATAACCAGGAAGGACTTTCCTGACACACAGAAAAAGTCGGCCGACACAGACTCAAAGGGGCGGGTGGGGTTGTCGTCACTCATGAAGGGTACCTGCTGCTGGCTGGGTTGTAATACGTGGCGGGGCTTACACACCTGGACAGCATTGGAGATGTCGGGGTCGATGCCAGGCCGGAACACAGTCTGTCTTGCACGCCGTTTGGTGGCCTCGGCTCCACAGTGACTGTCGTGGAGGCGAGCCAAGGCGTGGGGACGTGAAGCAGCAGGGACAACTACCGAAGGAGAGGTGTCACTGGCCAGAGGTAGGGGTAGGGCGGCAGCAGGGTAGTTGCTGCTCCCTTCGTGCACCCTGTTGGCGTGTCTTACCTCAAGAATAGGTTTTGGGAAGTCCTGGGAGATGATGGCCAACTCTTGACAATGTCTGTAGGACAGCAAGGGAGTCGGGACACCATTATGCACGTCAATCCAGGCCTGACACGACCTGTTGCCAAAGGTGACATGTGCATAGAGTGAACCCAGGGCTGGGGCCATCTGTGAACCATCTGCCATGACGCAGAGGTCCTCGGGAGGCGGTCCTAGATCGCTTGGAGAGAGCCCCAAGCATCGCAAATGCTGGGGACCGATGACTGTAGCATCAGCGCCGGTGTCGGGCAACATCTGAAGACGGGATGACACACCGCCGTAGGTCACGATGGCGCTGATGTACTGGGTGACTTTGGTCCTGGGATGCGAGGAGTACACCCTCCTAAAATGGGTCGGGCTTTGTCCAGGGTCGTCGTGCCTCTGATTTGGCGACTGTGGGCGGCCCTCACTGGTAGAAGGGCGCCGAAGCTTCCGCCGACGCTGTCCCTTGGGTTCGTGGGTAGGGCAACACTTGTCATAGTGGCCCAGACGACCGCACACATTGCACTGTACGTACTTAGCTGGGCACCGCACTGTGAGCGACCAGTGGCCCTTACGGTCACAACTGTTGCAGGTAGACTGAGCAGCTGGACATACCTGTGTTCCGTGCTGCTTACCACAGTTGTTGCAAAATGAACCGGGCGTGGACGTGGTGGGCGAAGGCGTAGGAGCAGACTTCTTGTCCTTCTTGTACCGGGAAACAGCGCGTACAGCTGTAGGGGGAGCTCGGATGGCAGAGGTGGCACACCTGGCAGCCTCATAGGAGCGACATATCGTCAACACATCCTGAAGAGAAGAGGAAGAGTCGAGGGAGGTGAGGCGTTGGACAAGTTCCTCGTCCTTAACACCCATCAGGATCACCTGCTTCAACTGGGTCTCCTCGCACTGCTGGTGGTAGCCTAAACATATATCTACCTCTTCCGAGGCTCTCTTAAGACGTACATAAAAAGCGTCAAAAGACTCACCCTCCATCTGTCTGCAGCTAAACAATTCCCTCCTGCGCAGAGCTTCATTCTGCTGTCCTTTGATGTGCCGTTGTAGAACGTCCAGTACCTCCTCTACAGACAGCGAAGAGGTTGGGGGTACCTGCAACGTATGTTCTAAGACACGCTGAACTTCCAAGGACAGGCACATACGCAGCTGGATGAGTTGTTTAGGCTGTGACAAACTCTGGAGATCCACCATTGTAGCATAATCAGCCCACCGCCGCCGCCATTCGCGAAAAGTCTGGAAATTTACATCAGGCTCCAAGATGGGCGGTGTTTGAGCTGCTGCTTTAGGTGGGGCTGGGGGGCGTGAAGGAAGCATGGATGAGGTATCTGAACCATTCAGTACCGAGGCAGTGTTAGAACCAGGGGCTTGGTTAACAGTGAGGCGAGATATCAAGGCTTCAAACCGTGCACTGTCTTCCATTCTCCGTTGGTGGTCTCGTTCTGCCTCTGCTTGCCTTCTGTGCTCATCCGCCAAACGTCTGTGAGCTTCATCCTCGCGTCTCTCATCTCTCATAAACTTCATTAAGGCAATTATCTCTGGAGATAACGCTGAATGTTGAGGTGAAGGGCTGCGCGATGTTGTGGGAGCTGGGGTGTCATGGTCAGCCTGGTCATCCATCTCTGGGGGACTATCATCCGCTTGACTCATCCAGGCGCTGGGTCCACGGCTACGTAAGGCATGAGACATAACTACTTTATCTGTGTACTGTGTCTTAAATCAGTGTTGACCGGTCAGCCCGTCGTATCAACAAGATTTCAGACAAAAAAATTTAATTAAATACACAGATAAGTAGGTTATATATATAAAATATATATAAGAAAGCCGCGCGGTCAGCAAGTGTTAGTACATGTATGTGTGTGTGTCCCAGGCAGGCAGAGCGTCTCGCCCCAGCTGTGAGGGGGGGTGGAGGCGGCGCTGTGAGGGAGGGGGGTGGAGATAGGAGTAGCTCAGTCGCTCTCTGTAAACGGTCAGAGGAGGGTGCGCTGAGCTCTACACCCCACAAATGCCCAGAACATGCCGTATACCTTGGAAATCCGTTCGAACAAGGTCACACATGAATGGCACGAAACACACAATGCACTAAACACTTCACAGAAAATCACTGTCACTGACACTGCTCAAAGTTGCGAAATTCTTCGAGGGATGACGCGGGGTTGACCCAAGGCGGGGATCCATCAGCCGGCTTTCCACAAACTTGCACTAATCACTCGTAATAATCCAGTAAAACTACGCACTGCGCCATGTTAGGTTCTGGGTAATAAGTTCTATATACAGGAGAGAACACAAACACCTGTATAGTTTTGTAGGTTCGGTTTACTGGATAAGAGTATGTACACAGAGGTGGATAGCACTGCTCCCTAGCTAAGGTCCTGGTCAACTACCATAGACGACGTATGGCAAGTGATACATTAGCAGCTTCCATACGTCGCCAGGCACATTAATTAAGCGTGTGGGATATGGTAATAACATTGCCACACGCTGCTAGCTAGGCTGAATAAATATAAATGGAGCACATACATAATATACATACATAGTACATAATCCAGCATACATAATATACATACATATTGTATTCTTGTATTGGCTGAAATTTGGTGTACTATACAATCCTGTATCATATAACTTACTTGTGTTTGGTGAAGCCTTTGGTATTGAGCACCTCCTGGGCTAGACCAACTCTCCTACCAGACCTGCAACTAATCACGAGGTTGGGGTCTTGTGGGCTGAGTTTAGGGAACCCGTATTTAGTCTTGAAGTTGTCCTCACTTAGACTCAATGATTCTTCCAGCTCCTGTACTGTTGAGGAGGAGGAGCATCATTATTAATTTATTATACTTGTTATACGCAGTCTTATATATGGTACTTATGTAATGCTCTTATACTCGGAAGAATTATAGGGACTTTAATGAACATAATATCTGATGACTTTGCTGATTATATTGGATCGAGTTACGTCACTATTTATTATTATTCTATACATTTGCATTTATCTAGGTATACAAGCGTTAGGTGTTGTGCAAACCGGACCAATAATATCCTTCTCCTTCGACGCTTGTTGGAGAGATTAACGACCAATCTGACCTCCCCTCCGGCCAGGCACTACCAGCACACCACCACTCGCTCTCATTACCAACGCCGCGTGACCTGTCTATTGCAAACACAACACCAACTAGGGCTTGAAGGTCGTTACTGGAGACCGTGTTTGGTATCTCGTCTCATCTTCCGTGGGTGTTGAGGGTCCAAGAGGAAGGCCGGAAGAATTGGTTTATCGTGTCGGTAATGGGATGAGGTTGGCAGCCAGAGCGTGACAGTGGTGTACGACACGGCGTTGCACAAGGGCCGTCCACGATGCTGGGTCCTATACAGATTGTCAATACCTTATTTTTTATGGATTTTCTTACCAGTGAAGAAGCGAGTCGACCTTTGATATTTATTCGTATAAGGAAGAGAGAGAGAGAGAGAGAGAGAGAGAGAGAGAGAGAGAGAGAGCGCGCAAAGAAATAGGTCACACACACACATCAAATTTCTTAAACAAATAAGTAAATAAAATCAGAACATTATCATTCTTACTAATTACTTAAAAAAAAGAATAAATCAATTAAAGTTTCATAAATAAATTGATCAACTTTACAAAGACTTTCTCCCCAAATCACAAGTGTTGAGGCGAGAAATTGGAAGGTAACTCTTATAAATATTTAGTTTATATATTGTACATAGTGACATGTTCAGGCGTACCACAGTTTAACCACACCCTTACTTTCAACACCACACCCCTACCACACCTTCACTTTCATCACAACCACACCACACCTTCACTTTCATCACAACCACACCACGCCCTCACTTTCACCCACACCTTCCCTTTCATCACAACCACCACACCTTCACTTTCATCACAACCACACCACACCCTCACTTTCACCATCACAACCTTCCCTTTCATCACAACCACACCACACCTTCACTTTCATCACAACCCCACCACACCCTCACTTTCATCACAACCACACCACGCCCTCACTTTCACCATCACAACCTTAGTTTTAACACCACACCCTCACCACACCCTCACCACCTTCCCCAATAGCACCACTCACCATCACCACCCTCACTAACCCTCATCACTCACACCATCACTAATCAACAGACCTCATCATAACATTCCCCCCCCATCTCTCTTCACCATCCTCCTCCCCCCTCTGCTTCATCCCTCTCTTCACCACTCAACACTCACCAGGCAAGACGTGTGATCCTGGTATCTGTCCCTGTTCCTTCACCTCCTCTCTCTTCCTCACGTCTACTATCCTCACCTCGGATAGACAGCCCGACAGCTCCTCATAGTTGATAGCTGAAAGTAACAGAGGTAAATATTTTAGTAACATTGTGACAGGTGATGATGACAGGTGATGATGACAGGTGATGATGACAGGTGAAGATAACAGGTGAAGATGACACGTTAGGTTAGGTTAAAAATAAAACACGTATGACTCAAATTCTCACCCACAAAGGAATTGTTCGTGTCCCTGCAGTCGGGGTGAATAAACTCATTGGCTCATATCATTCGTAGAAACACTTGTTGTCTAATTCAAGAACATATTTCCTTCTTTAATTCTCTAAGTTAAAACAACATAAATTACTTCAAATAGTATCTTTAATTAACTTTCTCAGTTTTATTTTTTTATTAAGTAATATCGATAAATATTACACTAGAAGCTATAGATATATGATTTGATTAGTTTTCCACCACAATATGGCAGGACTCCCAGTACACATGATAAACAACAAACTGGTACCTGGGACATTATTGGAACTTACCTATTATTCATTATACCATTATATGATACTAAAAAAAAAACCTTCTAAACGAAATTATGACTAATATAGTTAAAAATAAACCTCACTCACTTAAATATCACAAACAAATGAAGAATATAATAAAGAATAAACACAAAAAAACAAACAAAACAAGTTGGCATCACTGTTGAACGAACATTAATACTTTATACAACCCGACAGAAAATCAATATGAACTTCCTCATCCTTAACCATATCACTATTTAGCTTTAATACACAACAGACTTACTTGTCATAGCTGTGATAGACTGCTGTACACGGGAGCTCACACACTTAGGAAGCGTCAAGCAACGGTGATGATGAAACACTGAACTCAGGTGACGACGTATCGCCTGTGTTGTGAGGGGCGGTGTTGCCGTCTTGTGGTCATTAAATAATTTATCCAGGAATGTTTTTACACAGGTAGTTTATTTACTTTATTTATCTAATGGTCATCCAGATTAGAGGTGGCCATGCTGAGGGAAGAAGGCCTATTGTTTGTGTAGATTCCCTTCCGTTGTCCTCAAAGGGTTAAACCATCGTCATTAAAGGGTTAAACCATCGTCATCAAAGGGTTAAACCATCGTCATTAAAGGGTTAAACTATCGTCATCAAAGGGTTAAGCCATCGCCATCAAAGGGTTAAACCATCGTCATCAAAGGGTTAAACCACCGTCATCAAAGGGTTAAACCATCGTGCTTAAAAGGGTTATTAGCTCCAAATAGTAAAAGTCATGCTAAGTTAAGACCAGGCAGTTCCGTAGCCACTTAGTTTGGACTCTTACCGATCTAAACCATCGATTTAACCAACATAAATACTTTGATTAAAACTCGTGAAGGTGAAATGAAATGGTGTTACAAAGAGACGAGGGAGGGTAATACCAGCAGCGGCCTAGACTGATAGCATTATATCACCAAATATCCATAATTATTGATAAGACGATAAACCATATTTTTTATCTATAAAAGTATTGATATTTATCTTTATGACGTAAAAGAAAATATATATATTTTTTAAGAGTTTATATTGGGTTTTTTTTCGGTGGTTTATATTAGATTATTGTATTTATATATAAGTAATGAATTATTATCTGATACAACACCTGCTGAGACAGATGTCAATTCGCTATTTTCTCATAATTTATAGTAAACCCAGAATTATTTTAAATTATATATTAATTTAACGCTCATAATTAACAATGAAAAAATCCTTTAAAACTTTGAAACATAAATGCCCTGATATTTTCTTATGTTAGGATAATATTCAGTATGGTGTTATGTTGTTACCTGTGTTATGGTGTTACCTGTGTTATGGTGTTACCTGTGTTATGGTGTTACCTGTGTTATGGTGTTATCTGTGTTATGGTGTTACCTGTGTTATGGTGCTACCTGTGTTATGGTGTTACCTGTGTTATGGTGTTATCTGTGTTATGATGTTACCTGTGTTATGTTGTTACCTGTGTTATGTTGTTACCTGTGTTATGGTGTTACCTGTGTCATGGTGTTACCTGTGTTATGGTGTTACCTGTGTTATGGTGTTATCTGTGTGTTATGTGTGTTACCTGTGTTATGGTGTTACCTGTGTTATGGTGTTACCTGTGTTATGGTGTTACCTGTGTTATGGTGTTATCTGTGTTATGGTGTTACCTGTGTTATGGTGCTACCTGTGTTATGGTGTTACCTGTGTTATGGTGTTACCTGTGTTATGTTGTTACCTGTGTATGGTGTTACCTGTGTTATGGTGTTACCTGTTATGGTGTTATCTGTGTTATGGTGTTACCTGTGTTATGGTGCTACCTGTGTTATGGTGTTACCTGTGTTATGGTGTTACCTGTGTTATGGTGTTACCTGTGTTATGGTGTTACCTGTGTTATGGTGTTACCTGTGTTATGGTGTTATCTGTGTTATGATGTTACCTGTGTTATGTTGTTACCTGTGTTATGGTGTTACCTGTGTTATGGTGTTACCTGTGTTATGATGTTACCTGTGTTATGTTGTTACCTGTGTCATGGTGTTACCTGTGTTATGGTGTTACCTGTGTTATGATGTTACCTGTGTTATGTTGTTACCTGTGTTATGGTGTTACCTGTGTTATGGTGTTACCTGTGTTATGGTGTTATCTATCAACAAGGCGGGAGTGGTATGGTAGTTTACAGATTGATAAGACTGACAATTTCATGTACTTGATTTCCTAACGCTTTTGAATTCTTGATCGTAATTCAAGAGGTGTCATGACATAACAACCATTAACCTAACCTAACCTAACCACAAAGCTATGTAGATTATAGTTGAAATTGTATGTAAAGTTATCTGAGTTTAAGTCGATTCCAGCCCCGTTAATAGGAAATAATATACTAACGAGGTTAAAAAATCATATGTATGTTTGCCAATAATATTAAAATGTCTAGTGTAGTAGTTCAGACTTACTCTATGATAGCTGAGACACTTGTATATACTGACACGTAAAGAAGATCAAATTTATCAAGAAAACTTACCGTATGTACAGTTGAGGTCAAAATTCCCTGGACAGTTGGATCTAAGTTAGAGCTGTGTGTGTGTGTGTGTGTGTGTAATAATAATAATAATAATAATAATAATAATAATAATAATTAACGGTTTATTGAAAACGTTCTGCAGCCCGAAGGATGAAAATATACAGTTACATAATTGGGGAATGGGTCTCTTGATTTATAAATAATATACAAGTAACATAAGTGATACAAATATGATGTATAATAACTAGGTGGGGAGAAGCTCAAACTACAGGGCATTTCAACATAGTGACAGCGCAAAGAGTAGGATTTACTGGGAGTGAATACACTGGTTTATTACAAGTTATTGATAATTTTTACTATGGTTGGGACTGGGCTGTTCTTATAGCGATCAGTTCGTGCTCGTATGGGCTGGATGCGGTTGTGGTGTCGAACAGCAATTCTCGGGCGAGGGATCTCAGGTGGGAGTAGGAGTCGGTGTCGAGGATAGTGCAGAAGCTTCTCACCAAATTTGCAGATGAGGTCGTGGTGATGGTCAGTGAGAGCCAAGAGGGTCAGTGTGTTGAGTGCTTCTTGATATGTGGAGTAGGAAGGGGAGAGAATAATCTTGCATGCCCTATTTTGCACTTTTCTCTAGGTGTTTACGTTGTGTGGCATTTAGGGAGGAAGACCAGGTAGGGGAGGCATAGGTGAGCTTGGGGAGTATGAATGTTGTGTAAACACTGAGGAGCTCGGGTGCAGGAACTCCGAGGGACTTGAGTCGGCGGAGGAGGTGGAGACGGAAACTGGAGGATTTGACAACTTCACTGACGTGTGGTTTCCAATTTAGTTTGTTGTCTATGGTGACGCCGAGAAGCTTAGTGGAATCTAGAACCTGGAGTGTGTTGGGACCTAAAGTAATGGAAGGGGGTGAGACAACGTCGGAGGAGAGGTTGATGTGCATAACCATGGTCTTGGTATGGTTGATGGTGATATGGTTGTTGGTGGCCCAGTTTTGGAGACTGTTCAATAAATCCTGAAGGGCGGTATAGTCGGGAGCAGAATTGTTGATGCTGATCCCAAAGATGGAGTCGTCGACATATTTCCAGCGAGCAGGAGTTTCTCTTAAGGCATCATTAATAAGCATAAGGAAGCATAGTGGTTCCATCTTAGTGTCTTGGGGGACGCCACAGGTGAGTGACTGAAAGGTGGAGACAGCCCCTCGGAAGCATACAGCTTGGCGTCGGTCACTGAGGAAATCTGTAAGCCATGGTATAAGACTTCTTCGAAACCTGAGGTCGTTAGCTTTGTTGATGATTAAATTGTGCTCGACAAGGTCGAATGCTTTAGTGAAATCAATGAAGGCGACAGCTACGGACGTTTTTCGTTTCTCCAGATGGCGGTATATGTAATCGAGAAAGCTGACAAGACAGTGAGTGGTGGAGGAAGTTTTCATATTACCAAATTGCTGAGGGTCTACGGCTCCTGCAATATCAGCATAAGCCCAGTCGAACATAAAACTTTCACAGATTAAGCTGGGTATTAGGGTGATTGCAATAGGTCGTAGCTGATTTAAGGATTGTGGGCTGGTTGACTTGGGCACTGGTGATACATAAGAGGTCTTCCAGTCAGCTGGGCATCTGGCTTGACTGAGAGAAGCATTGATGATGGAGCATAGGGGCTTAGCAAGCTCCGGGGAGAACTCCTTGAAGAGTTTCATTGGTAAGTCAATGGGGGTGGTGGAGCGTTTTAACTTCAGTTTGTCCAGACGTTTTGCTACTTCAAATTCTTCTACTAAGTCAGTGGGAAGGGGGGCTGGTAGGTAAGTAGGGAGAGTGGTTGTGTCAAGCCGGGGGAGCGTCTGGCATATAGTAGCGAAATGGTTATTTGATTGCTCAGCTGCGTCAGCAGTAGTGAGATGGATAAGGAAGAGTGTGTCTTATTGTTTAGTCCATAGAGTTCTTTAAGCTTACCATACTATTGACTGATGTTGGTCTGCTTCAGGTGTTGCAATTTGGTTGGGTAGTGAAACTTCTTTGCAGTGCGTATTTCGCGGATGACTCGGTTGCGAGGGGACCTGTAGCGGATGTGGTCATTGAGATAAAACGCGCTGTCTCTCTGTTGCATAAGTCTTTTGATCCGAGGTGTGATTCAGGGCAAATCAGCTGGGTGAGATCTGACGGACTTGGACTTCTCGGGGAAGAAGTGGTGGTGAGCTTCCGTGGTGGTGTTGGTATAATTTATCCATGTGGTGTCCACGTCATCCACACTAAGTACTTCAGTCAAGGGATGGTGAACTATCCACTGCCCGAAGAGACGCACTGCAGAGTCAGTAATCGGCCTGTAGGTCTTGATGTAGGGTCTCTGTACTTGAGTGGGAGTGGCAGCTGGGGACCAGAGCACTGATAAGTGTGTGCTACACCCGATAGGAGGCATTGGTTGAGGTGGTTGATACTGGTCCGCTAAGTCAGTTAAGATAAGGTCAAGGGTATTTTGACCGTGTGTGGGGAAGTTCACAACTTGTGATAGTGACAGCTGGTCCTGGATATCAGTGGTGTCAATTTCATTATAATCCCCACATAATACTAACTTGGCACAACAGTATGGTGCTCCACAAGAACCATCACAACAGTATGGTGCTCCACAAGAACCATCACAACAATATGGTGGACCACAAGAACCATCACAACAGTATGGTGCACCACAAGAACCATCACAACAGTATGGTGCTCCACAAGAACCATCACAACAGTATGGTGCTCCACAAGAACCATCACAACAGCATGGCGCTCCACAAGAACCATCACAACAGTATGGTGCTCCACAAGAACCATCACAACAGTATGGTGCTCCACAAGAACCATCACAACAGTATGGTGCACCACAAGAACCATCACAACAATATGGTGCACCACAAGCACCATCACAACAGTATGGTGCCCCACAAGAACCATCACAACAGTATGGTGCTCCACAACAACCATCACAACAGTATGGTGCACCACAAGAACCATCACAACAGTATGGTGCTCCACAACAACCATCACAACAGTATGGTGCACCACAAGAACCATCACAACAGTATGGTGCTCCACAAGAACCATCACAACAGTATGGTGCACCACAAGAACCATCACAACAGTATGGTGCTCCACAAGAACCATCACAACAGTATGGTGCACCACAAGAACCATCACAACAGTATGGTGCTCCACAAGAACCATAACACCAGTATGGTGCTCCACAAGAACCATCACAACAGTATGGTGCACCACAAGAACCATAACACCAGTATGGTGCACCACAAGAACCATCACAACAGTATGGTGCACCACAAGAACCATCACAACAGTATGGTGCACCACAAGAACCATCACAACAGAACATGTGCTCCACAAGAACCATCCTGTGTGTGGTGCTCACAAGAACCATCACAACAGTGGTGCTCACAGCAACCATCACAGCTTGATGTGGTGCTCTGGAATTCTCCACAACTTCTAGTTGTCCCACAGAACCATCACAACAGTATGGTGCTCCACAAGAACCATCACAACAGTATGGTGCTCCACAAGAACCATCACAACAGTATGGTGCTCCACAAGAACCATCACAACAGTATGGTGCACCACAAGAACCATCACAACAGTATGGTGCTCCACAAGAACCATCACAACAGTATGGTGCTCCACAAGAATCATCAAGCTTATACGACACTCGAAGGTTTTAGACAACCATCGTTGCCAGACTTTATGAGGTACAGGTGGTGTGTGGGCAGTAGTAGTCATCAGTTATTTATCCTGAGTTATATAAACTAATGTTTACAAGCTCTCGGTCACTGTATTACTGGCCTGTGTTACGCTTCCTTCCTGGAGTATTGTATAATAAAATACCACAAGTCTCAACCAGCGTTATATATTCCTTCCCTCCCTCAAGAATTAATTAACCCTTGGTCAAAATGGCTGACAGGAGGAAGATTTACTATACCATGGCCTTTACATACTGTACATATGTGCATCTAATTATCAGGGGGGAGGTGGGAGAGAGAGATCACATATACACCAAAGACACACTGGCCGGTTACCATGACAGAGTTCAGATGAAAATAGTAACGCCAAATGAAAGACACTTATGATATTAAGAGATAATAGAACATAAGACAAGGTAATAAATAGTTTGTCAGGAAGAGATATTAACCTTTGCTTTTAGGGCAAATTCAAAACATAAATGAAAGTTTGGTGTTAACGCATACGACAGGTTGGAGTCACTGATGATTTTAACACAGGTACTGAAACTGTTGTTGCAGTGGATTGAGAGAGGTTGCATAGGCTTGTTGTCGTTGTGTCGTCATGACGTATTTATCATTCTCGTTGTGTTGTCAAATTCCAATACGTGGGCGAGGAGCCTCAGGTGTGTCTAAAGGTGACATTAAAGTTCTAATGCTTCTTGATGTATTGGTTCACAAGTTCGGGTAGCATGAACCACGAGTCGATGCCTCTGTTGCCAATGAACTTGTAGCCCTTGCTGGTCATATAGTCCACCAAGAACTTCCGACCTTCAGGTATAAGGTTCGACTCGACCACCAAGAGTCCAACCTTGACTTTGTCCCAAGGGATAGTCATCAACACCTGTAATGTAAACAATGTTATAGATATTTTATTTTCTGATGGATTACCTGAACATTAGGACATTTAGTTTAAACCAAAATACAGAGAGATTAGTTTAATGTGGGATTATGCTAACATTAAGTATGATACTAGACTAAGTGTGTGTGTGTGTGTGTGTGTGTGTGTGTGTGTGTGTGTGTGTGTGTGTTGGAATACAAAACAGCATAAGTACATAATGAATTAAGATAACTTTCAACCCAACACAACACACAGCAACACAACACAACACAACACCTGTGCTCACCTTCATCTCACCCCCTTCAATGTCGAGACTGAAGAAATCAATGACTGTAGTATTAAGAGCCAGCAACATGGTGTACAGAGGAATGGCCTGAATCCTCTCCCCGCGGTCCGGGAAGGTGCGACCTAACACGCCCAGTGTACCGCGTTTTCTATATAAACAAGAGAATAATCCAGTTATACCCGTATATATAAATTAGTCTCTTGAAAGTTAAACATCCTAAAGCTAAACTGATCTAATCTAAAGCTAACTTAATCTAAATTAACGATAATTTAACCTAACGCTAACTTAATCTGACATAACTTAACCCAACGCTAACCTAACCTAACTTAAGCTAACACTAACCTTAGGTGATTCGACTTACACATATCTGACTTCGGTGGAGGAGGTGTTGAAAGATAAAGCTGCGTTAATGGAGTAAGCTTTTCGGTGTTTCTGGAGGAGCGTTTTATATGTTGTCTGGAACACCTCGATGAGAAGCCCCGACCAACCGAGGTTTCTCTCCAAGTACAGGGAGTTGCTCAGGGTTTCACCATCCACGGCACCCACCTCCACGAAGAAGCCCTCTCTCTGTGGGACAGTAGCGCCAGTTAGTTAAGGGTACATCATTGCTAGTTAGAGATAGATCAATACTAGCTAGTAATACTTCTCACAACAGACATTATAATATTGCTCACCTTGCCATGGAAATAAGTTGCATCAGCGTGTTGAGTTTGGCGATACTGTGAGAAATGTTGTTTTTCTGGATGAGTGAGGTTGTACCGCAGAGTGGAAGGAGGTTTCATGAGGTGACGGACGTAGGTGACCAGTGCTGGGTCATCCTGGGCTGCCCCTTGGTAGGTAGCGTCTGTCAGGACTCGCTCAGGCTGGGGAGCCTTTCCCTTCAAGTCCATGGAAGTCTTGGTAATGAATATCTCATTAAGGCGTTGAGTCGTCCCTGGTGGCACAGTGAACAAGAGCGTCAGTAATATAGACAGGTGTGTGTGTGTGTGTGTTAGTGCAGGAGCTCTTGAACACAGACAATTCATAACAAGAAAGACACAAGCTTTTGTTACACTGTCGTCAGGTCATATAACAACACACTTACCTGTTGATCAAATTAAAGGTAAATATTGAGATCAATTTGTATATACTGATTACACATAAGGTAGTAATAGTAAAGGCCATGGGGCATGGGGCATGAGGCATGGGGCATGGGGCATGAGGCATGGGGCACAGACACTACCCACCAGAGAGGAACACCAGAGATGTTTTTTACACAACCTGATTTGTTGGTCAAGATCCAGACGGAGATGAGCAGCACACAGAGGCACAGGAGTTGACCATACTTCATCTTCAGACATTGATACACGAGGGAGGCCATTCTGAGGAGATAGTTTCATGTTACTTGATACCATGGACACACACACACACACACACACACACACACACACACACACACAGTGAGGTGCCACGCACTGTACACTCAGGTGCCAGGTAATGTACACTCAGGTGCCAAGCACTGTACACTCAGGTGCCACGTCACTGTACACTCTGGTGCCGCGTAATGTACACTCAGGTGCCACGTAATGTACACTAAGGTGCCACGCACTGTACACTCAGGTGCCACGCACTGTACACTCTGGTGCCACGCACTGTACCCTCAGGTGCCACGCACTGTACACTCTGGTGCCACGCACTGTACCCTCAGGTGCCACGCACTGTACACTCAGGTGCCACGCACTGTACACTCTGGTGCCACGCACTGTACACTATGGTGTTGATTAGGTGAAGATGTTTTTGGTGTTTTAATGTGTCGGATGTTCAGCGATCTGTTTCTTTATGAGTCGTTTAATTTGTTATTCTTTTGTGTTCAACAGATTCTTTCCTTTATTGTGACGGCGATTTCGTGATAATTTTAGTCGTTGTCTTAAATTATTTCCTGTTTCATTATTTAAGGTCATTTGGCACGTTCTTAAGTTAAGCTCTACTAATGATAAACTCCGGTGCAAGTTGCAGAAAACATTTTGTCTATTGCGTTAATTTATATTATTCTGTTGCTAAAATTAACTTTTGTAAGCAAGGAATTTAAAATAAGATCAAATATTAAACTGCAGCTAGAAGAACAACAACAAAGAACAACAACGGAACATAGATAATATAGTGAAACTGATAACGAAGTAGCGAGCAGTACATGGGACAGAGAGGTCCTTAGATATATAAAGAGCAGCAAGAGAGGCAGTATACAGCCCTACCTTCTGCTGTGTGAGGCGGGGACGGTAGTGGGCGGGGTGTTGATGGTGGTAGGCCGTCGGGGGAGAGTATGACTGGCAAAGTTGCCAAAATCTCCGGGACTGGCTGGTATGGTTGCTAACCTCACCGCTAGCTTGCGATTTGAGATAAAAACTTGGAGTTTGTTGCATTAGCTTTGTAAATAAATTATCTGCATACAGTTTTATATGAGTAATCGCTCAATGAAAATGTTTGTATGTTATTCTATACCTTCGTTACACGTGACTGCAATATGAACTTTATTCCAATGTAAAGTGTACATTTTTAGCCAAAAAATATTTATAGAATAAAAGTTGTGAAAAAATTAATACTTTGCTAGGTACAGATTTTTTTTCCTCCGAGCGCCAAAGATCTTTGTACACATTGAGTCATAACAAAATTACTATGGGAGATAAGAAGGTGGGGTTTGTTGTATTAGGACTGTAAATACATTATCTAGACAGTTTTATTCAGGTAATCATAATAAAATTGCTAAATCTTTACATAATTGTGAGTATAACACAAACTGTAGTGCATGGCTGCCACCTGAAGCTCCCAAATGGGAGATTTTTCCCTCAAAGTTTCTATATTTTTTAAATGAATTATACATAATGTGTTTATAAATTCTTATTATTTTCGAAATTCTTAAAAAATATTTCATAAATTGTTTTAACGAAAATAATTTGTTTTATGTATTTACATGTACCCCCCCCCCCCTGCCGCCCTCCCCCTCCTCCTCCGTGCCACATAGTGCCACACTTAGTTTGAACACGGTGGCTAAATCTTGCTTTAGTGGGAGTAAGCGTAGTACACACTTGTGAGGGAGATGACCGATCACGAGGTAAGCCACGACAGGTTGACTGGCCAGGTGTGGTTGAGAGCGTAAGGCCCAGATGGTGGTTTAGTAGTGAAGGAAACACGACTAAGAGACGCAGCTTATTCCTGACGTTTCCTCACAAGACTTTTACAAAGGACTGAACACAGTAGTAGTAGAGATATAGAGAAGAGAGCCGCTGACTCTGGGGATACAAGGAGGTGTAAGAGGAAGGTCAAGTTTGGAAGTGGGAAGTACAGTGTGAGATTGAGAGCAGGTGGACTATCCTCCTTGTAATTAAGTCTGGCTCAACTATTGGTAATTCCTCTGTTACAATCTCTCTCTCTCTCTCTCTCTCTCTCTCTCTCTCTCTCTCTCTCTCTCTCTCTCTCTCTCTCTCTCTCTCTCTGTCCACAGGTGTGTACCTTATCTCCTCTCACAGGTGACAAATGCTCTCGCCCCTCTGGTCCACGCACACACACACACACACACGACTACTACTACTTTGCTACTTTGCTGTCTCTCGGAAGCGAGTATGACGATCATCCAGCTATGGTAAAATGATATGGGTGCAACTTTGTGGATAATTTCAGCTCCCTACAGCTGAAGACACGATTTCGGAGTCCGCCCAAGGCGTAAGATGCACATCTGATCCGATGCTGAATTTCTTCATCGATGTCTGCGGTGGTGAACAGGTGGGAGTCGAGATACCGAAAGTGGGTAACATTAGAGAGGGTAGTACCGTTAAGCTGGATGGATAAAGGAGGTGTGTCTGAACCAGGGACAGGTTGAAAGTGAATCTGAGTCTTACGTACATTCACCTCAAGGCCGAAGTGTGCATACGTGTCTACATAGGTGTTCAGGATCTCCTGTAGGTCGTGTTCAGTGTGAGCAACAAGGGTGGGGTGGTCTGCATACTGAAGTTCAGTAATGGAAGCTTCCGACATCTTTGTTCTTGCCTGGAGTCGTCTTATGTTGAAAAGACCCCCCTTCACCCCGCTGGCTAAATTGACACTGGCATGAGTAAGGAAGGCAGCCAAGAACCTCTGTTTGGATGGGGAAGAACTCTGACTGGGTGCCGTTGTGCAGGACACTGCCGTTCATGCCATCGAGGAGTTGCCCCACAATGACGATGAATTTTGGTGGACAGCCAAAACTGCTGAGGGTCCACCAGAGGGCTTCCCTGTTAACCGAGTTGAAGGCCTTGGTTAGGTCGATGAAAGCCATATACAGGTCACGACGCTATTCGCTGCACTTTTCTTGTATCTGGCGGGCAGTAAAGATCATGTCAGCGGTGCTACGTGATGGTTTAAAACCACATTGAGATCCTGGAAGGAAGTTTTCCGCCTCAGGAAGAAGTCTGTTTAGGAGAACTCGGGCTATAATCTTGCCAGCTACGGAGAGCAGCGAGATCCGATGGTAGTTGCCACAATCTGACAGGATCCCCCTTGTTCTTATAAATATTGACAATGGAGGCATCTTTAAGAGCTTGGGGCATTTCCTCCTTTTCCCATATATTCTCCAAGTGGTAAGCAGAGGTCCTCCTACATTATACACCTCGGCTGAGATTCCATCAGGCCCTGAGGCTTTGTTATTTTTCATCTGTTTGATGGCAGTAGCTACCTCATCCAGGGATGGAGGACAGCTGAAGTGGGTCAGCTCTGGATGCTGAGGGACCTGCTGGGTAGTCAGGACATCCACATCGGTGTTTCGGTTGAGCAAAGAATGATAGTGCTCTTTCCAGCTCTGAAGGAGGCTTTCGTCTTCTTTAATTATGTGGTTACCGTCAGATGAGTGAAGGGGGGCTGTACTACGAGTGACTGACCCATAAAATGATTTAGTGGAAATGAAAAATTCGCGCATCTAGTGCTGATCTTACAAGTTTTTGTGCTTCACATGCTTTATTTTTCAGCCAGTCGTTCTTTAGATTGCGAAGTTCCCGCTGGGCTGCTGCTTTCTTCTTGCCGAAGGTATCGGCTTTGGTCCGAGTCAGAGGGTTGTTCTGCCAGTCAGTAAAAGCAGCACATTTATCATCTATTAGTACTTTGATTGCAGCTTCATTTTCATCAAACCAGTCCTGGTGTATTCTTTCGAACTGGCCGAGGGTCTCTGCAGGTCTTTGTCATAAGTATTAAGAGTATCCCATTTGGCACTGGGATTCACGTTGTTTGCTGTTGGGTTGTTTATAAGCCCATGTTCAAGCTGCTCTCTGAAAGCATGGGCTACCTTCAACAAGCAGCGTGCCCACACACCAGTGACCTGACCTTCAACAAGCAGCATACCCACACACCAGTGACCTGACCTTCAACAACCAGCGTGCCCACACACCAGTGAACTGACCTTCAACAAGCAGCATACCCACACACCAGTGACCTGACCTTCAACAACCAGCGTGCCCACACACCAGTGAACTGACCTTCAACAAGCAGCATACCCACACACCAGTGACCTGACCTTCAACAACCAGCGTGCCCACACACCAGTGACCTGACCTTCAACAAGCAGCATACCCACACACCAGTGACCTGACCTTCAACAACCAGCGTGCCCACACACCAGTGAACTGACCTTCAACAAGCAGTGTGCCTACATTAGTGACCTGACCTTCAACAAGCAGCGTGCCCACACACCAGTGACCTGGCCTTCAACAAACAGCGTGCACACACACCAGTGACCTGACCTTCAACAAACAGCCTGCTCACACACCAGTGACCTGACCTTCAACAAACAGCGTGCCCACAACAGTGACCTGACCCCTCAAAGCAGCAACAACAATTGATTGGCTTACCATAGCCTGATTGTGTAATTAATGTATATAGCTACCATTACCGTATCTACCATTACCGTCTCTACCATTACCGTCTCTACCATTACCGTCTCTACCATTACCGTCTCTACCATTACCGTCTCTACCATTACCGTCTCTACCATTACCGTCTCCATTACCACCATTACCGTCTCTATTACCGTATCTACCATTAGTCTACCATTACCGTACTACCATTACCGTATCTACCATTACCGTATCTACCATTACCGTCTACCATTACCGTCTCTACCATTACCGTATCTACCATTACCGTCTCTACCATGCCGTCTCTACCGTACCGTCTCTACCATTACTCAATACAAAAAAAATAGCTTATGGTGGTGCACAAAAGTGGCACGCCCCCACAAGTCGAGGTGCGTCAGGAGCGTCAGGTGCGTCGGGAGCGTTAGGTGCGTCAGGAGCGTCCAGGTGCGTCAGGAAGCGTTAGGTGCGTCAGGAGCGTCAGGTGCGTCGGGAGCGTCAGGTGCGTCAGGTGTTGCCAGGAGCGTCCAGGTGCGTCAGGAGCGTCAGGTGTGCCAGGAGCGTCAGGTGCGTCAAGCGTCAGGTGCGTCCAGGAGCGTCAGGTGTGCCAGGGCGTCCAGGGCGTCAGGTGCGTCAGGAGCGTCAGGTGCGTCAGGAGCGTCAGGTGCCAGGAGCGTCAGGTGTGCCAGGCGTCAGGGTGCCAGGAAGCGTCAGGTGTGCCAGGAGCGTCAGGTGCCAGGTGCCAGGGCGTCAGGTGTGCCAGGCGTCAGGTGTGCCAGGAGCGTCAGGTGCGTCAGGAGCGTCAGGTGTGCCAGGAGCATCAGGTGCGTCAGGAGCGTCAGGTGCGTCAGGAGCGTCAGGTGTGCCAGGAGCGTCAGGTGCGTCAGGAGCAGCCAATAACCAGCGGTGTATTGTACCTGAGTGATGGGGAGCAGCGCCGGTGTTTACTTACAACTCCTATGAGGAAATGAATCTCACTGGGAACTGGGAACTTGCCGACAACCTTGCCGTTATCAGCCGGGTGGACAAGGTATCCGGTTAGGTTAAGTTAGGTTGAGGCCAACTGTCGTCGCCGGAGGAAGGATGAGGAGGAGAGAGAAGGTGGTGTCCCCAGAGTCATGCTACATCCTGTCTTGACAAACCCCATCCTTCCCGATGCCTTGGGAATGTCTGTTTTTAGTGATGTATTTAACACCTAAGCCATGACTGAGAGTGTAAGGAGTTGTACCTTTGTTTACAGATGGTCGCCCGGTGATTGTAATAATATACACCTACGAATTATATGATGAGGTGATTTTGTTAAGTAACTGGCCAGGTCGTGATGGACGCCCACGCACGCCCACGCACACCCATGATGCCCAGCCGTTGTTAATATTTGGTCCGTGGAGACAAATATTTGACAAAAATGTTCCGATGGAGAGCTAGGTGGTAGGGGATTCACCTATAGATGG